CTCCCTGCAGCCGGCCTGAGTGCTGATGCGCCTCCTGTCCACTTCCAGGAAAGGGGACCGGATTTACCATCAGCTGCGGAAGCTCGGCAGCTCCTTGGATTGGGACCGAGCCTGTTTCACCATGGACCCCGTGAGTGGGAGGGGCTGGGGCTGGGGAGGCTCCATAGAGAGCGCCTGCTGTGCCCGCCGCGGGTTAGACCCACACAGGCAAGCGCTGAGGGCTCAGCCGCAGATCTCCTGTCTGGTCCCGGGTCACGACCCTCTGTGTCCCCTGCCCTCTGGGAGCTCCACGGCCTGCACTCCCAGGATTGCCTGCGCCGGCACCCTGCCATCTCCAGCATCACCAGGCCCGTGCCTGTCCTTGTGTTCCCAAGCCCCCTCCATGGTCCCCTCTCCCCTCAGGAGCGCATTTCCCCCTTGCAGCCCTCGGGGGGGTCTGGGTGCTGGGCAGTGGGACTCTGGACCCTGCTGCCCTGGAAATTCTGCCTGGCCCACTCCCTGCTCCCCTAGAAACTGTCCGTGGCTGTGACAGAGGCCTTTGTCCGGCTCCACGAGGAAGGCATCATCTACCGCAGTACCCGCCTCGTCAACTGGTCCTGCACCCTCAACTCTGCCATCTCCGACATCGAGGTGTGCCCCGCCTGGGACCTCCAGCCCCACCCCAGCCCCGGGCCCCGGGCGGCTTTTCCTAACACCCCCTTCACAGGTGGACAAGAAGGAGCTGACGGGTCGCACCCTGCTCTCCGTGCCTGGCTACAAGGAGAAGGTGGAGTTTGGGGTCCTCATCTCCTTTGCTTACAAGGTCCAAGGCTCAGGTAGGAGCCAGCGGGGCACCAGGATCCTGGGCTGGATGGGGTGGGGGGCAGGAGGGGACCAGCGCTGAGATCATAAGGTCGCCTGTCACCCCAGAGAGCGATGAGGAGGTGGTGGTGGCGACAACTCGGATCGAGACAATGCTGGGAGATGTGGCCGTAGCTGTGCACCCCAAAGATCCCAGATACCAGGTGTGGCGAGGGTGCTGCCGTGGGGGGTGGTTACTGGCTGACGGGCCCCAGAGAAGGAGAGAGGGTTGATTAGACCAGGCGTGGGCAAACTTTTTGACTCGAGGGCCACAATGGGTTCTTAAACTGGACCGGAGGGCCGGAACAAAAGCATGGATGGAGTGTTTGTGTGAACTAATATAAATTCAAAGTAAACATCATTACATAAAAGGGTACGGTCTTTTTTTTTTTTAGTTTTATTCATTTCAAACGTAGTTTGCCCACGGCTGGATTAGACAGTTGCCTTGGGTCCCTGTCCAGCCTGCAGAGGGCATTGGGGTGTTGGACAGCCAGGGCCCTGGGAGGAGGGAGGGCCGGCCTTCGTGTGTTGAGGCCCCTCTGTTCCCAGCACCTGAAGGGGAGGAGCGTGGTCCACCCGTTCCTGTCTCGCAGCCTCCCCGTGGTCTTCGATGATTTCGTGGACATGGAGTTCGGCACAGGTGAGCAAGGGGCTGTCCTGAGGGCAGGAAGGAGCCACGAGGTGCATCCCGCATCCCTCGTCCCTCTGAAGGACGAGAACACAGGCTTCAGCTAAACAGACAGGCCTTGGCCTGGTTCTCAGGACTGTCACGGGGAAGTGGGGGACAGGCGGCCTCCAACAAAAGGGGGTGCATGTGGGAAGGGACTCACTGAGTCCTCGTGTCCTGGATCCCCATGTACACCCCAGGTGCGGTGAAGATCACCCCTGCACATGACCAGAACGACTACGAGGTCGGGCGGAGGCACGGGCTGGAGGCCATCAGCATCATGGACTCCCGGGGGGCCCTGGTCAATGTGCCCCCCCCTTTCCTGGTGAGACTGCCTGGGTGTGGGGCCAGGTCCCGAGGCGGCGGGGTACCACAGCACAGCCATGACGAGGCCTGTTCCCCCAGGGCCTGCCCAGGTTTGAGGCCCGGAAGGCGGTGCTGGCGGCGTTGAAGGAGCGGGGCCTGTTCCGTGGCATCCAGGACAACCCCATGGTGGTGCCGCTTTGCAAGTGAGGGCGGGGGCCAGAGAAGGGGGGGTGGCTCCTCAGGGGGCTCCCCACCCAACCTCCCCACCTGTGTGTACCTGCAGCCGGTCCAAGGACGTGGTGGAGCCCCTGCTGCGGCCGCAGTGGTACGTGCGCTGCGGGGAGATGGCCCGGGCGGCCAGTGCAGCCGTGGCTCGGGGCGACCTCCGCATCCTGCCTGAGGCCCACCAGCGGACGTGGCACGCCTGGATGGACAATATCCGGTGCGTCGGCTCGCTGGGAGGGGCTGGGGAGGGCTGAGCGCACCGGCCCGGCACCGCCTCCCCCTGACTCCACGCCTCTGCAGGGACTGGTGCATCTCCCGGCAGCTGTGGTGGGGCCATCGCATCCCAGCCTACTTCGTCACTGTCCGCGACCCAGCCGTTCCCCCCGGGGAGGTGAGCACATCTGGGGGCGCTGGGTTTGTTGGGTCCTTGGTGGGAGGCAGGGTCGGGCAAGGCAGGGGTGCCCCCTGGGTATTCATGGCACCTGTGGCAGGATCCCGACGGGCGGTACTGGGTGAGTGGGCGCAGCGAGGCCGAGGCCCGTGAGAAGGCAGCCAAGGAGTTTGGAGTGTCCCCTGACAAGATCAGCCTCCAGCAAGGCAAGGCAGGGCCTTGGGGGTGGGGGGCAGGGCCTGGTCTCAGATCCTCACCTCTGACCTCTGACCTTTGACCTTTGGCTTCCCTCAGATGAGGACGTATTGGACACGTGGTTTTCCTCTGGCCTCTTCCCCTTCTCCATCCTGGGCTGGCCCAACCAGGTACGTCCTTGAGGCCAGCTCAGGTGGGGCAGGGTCTTGAGGTGGGTGCTCAGCTCCCCGTCACGCTCTGCTCTGCCCCAGTCAGAGGACCTGAGTGTGTTCTACCCGGGGACCCTGCTGGAGACGGGCCACGACATCCTCTTCTTCTGGGTGGCCAGGATGGTCATGCTGGGCCTGCAGCTCACCGGCAGGCTGCCCTTCCGAGAGGTGCGTGGCCGGCTGAGGCCTCCCGCTCAGGCTCACACGGCCGGGCCCTGGGCAGCGCCCCTGGACGACTGGGTGGGCTGTGGGGATTGGGCACCTCCTGGGACCTGCTCGGTGATTGTGCCTGGGCTTCCCAGAGGAGGGACTCCTCTAAGCCCATGAAGGTGCCGGTGGGGCTGGCGGGACACCAAGGGACTTGAGGTTCAGAGTGGGGTGAGAGGCAGGGCGGGGGGTGGCCAGGGGGGGGGAGGCGGAGCCTCACAGCCCCTTCCCGCCTCAGGTCTACCTGCACGCCATCGTGCGCGATGCCCATGGCCGGAAGATGAGCAAGTCTCTGGGCAATGTCATCGACCCCCTGGATGTCATCCACGGAGTCTCCCTGCAGGTGGGTGCCCAGCAGCCGGGAGGCCTTGGGGAGGGCTGCTGGGCTGTGGCCATGCCCTGACCCCTCCCACTGCACCCTCAGGGCCTCCACGACCAGTTGCTGAACAGCAACCTGGATCCCAGTGAGGTGGAGAGGGCTAAAGAAGGGCAGGTACGTAGGAGGGCCAGGCCGGGGCGTGGGCAGAGGGAGGCGGGGCTGGCGCAGGACTCCAGCCCGGCTCCTCCGCAGAAGGCAGACTTCCCGGCAGGGATTCCCGAGTGCGGCACCGATGCCCTCCGGTTTGGACTGTGCGCCTACACATCCCAGGGTAGGACCCCAAATCTCTCCCCGCCCTCTTCCTCCCTGAGGCCACCCCTCCTCTGCCCTGGGCAGGCTGGGAGGGCGAGCTGAGGACACTTCCCGCACCAGGGCGTGACATCAACCTGGACGTGAACCGGATCCTGGGCTACCGCCACTTCTGCAACAAGCTCTGGAACGCCACCAAGTTTGCCCTTCGTGGCCTGGGCAAGGGTTTCGTGCCCTCGGCCACCTCCGAGGTGAGGGCCTGGTGGGCTCGGAGTAACCCCCACAGGCTGCACCCCGCCGCTCCGGCATCAAGCACGACCCAGGAGCCTCCATGTGGGGGGAGCGGAGCAGAGGTTGCAGGAGATGCCCAGGCACTGGGTCCTCCCCCCATATGGGCATGTGGCTTCCCACCGTCAGGCTCTGAGTGCATATTTGCCCATGGTTCCTGCCTCCTGGGGTTCTGGCTCCCTCCCCCTGGGCATCTCTCCCCTCAACTGGTGGCCCTGGCTGATCTGCCCCTCCCGCCAGCCTGGAGCCCACGAGAGCCTGGTGGACCGCTGGATCCGCAGCCGGCTGACCGAGGCCGTGAGGCTCAGCAACCAAGGGTTCCAGGCCTACGACTTCCCGGCCGTCACCACCGCCCAGTACAGCTTCTGGCTCTATGAGCTCTGTGATGTCTACCTGGTGAGGAGGAGCACAAGGGGGCGGGGGCAGCGAGCCCCAAGCCAGCCTGTCCCCTCCAGCTGTCACAGGCGCAGCGAGGGCTGGAGACTAGATCTTTCCCAGCCCTGAACCCGCCTCCCGTCCCCTAGGAGTGCCTGAAGCCTGTGCTGAGTGGGGTGGACCAGGTGGCTGCTGAGTGCGCCCGCCAGACGCTCTACACCTGCCTGGACGTTGGCCTGAGGCTCCTCTCGCCGTTCATGCCCTTCGTGACTGAGGAGCTGTTCCAGAGGCTGCCCCGGCGGCTGCCGCAGGCACCCCCCAGCCTCTGCGTCACCCCTTTCCCAGAGCCCTCAGAGGTATGGGGTGTGGTCAGGGTGGGGCTCGGGCCTGTGCCCGGCCCTCCTCACCCTCCTCCGCCCCACAGTGCTCCTGGAAGGACCCTGAGGCAGAGGCGGCCTTGGAGCTGGCCCTGAGCATTGCCCGAGCCGTGCGCTCCCTGCGTGCCGACTACAACCTCATCCGGACCCGGCCTGACTGTGAGCCTCGGGGCGCCTCCACCCGCCCGCTGTCCCCAGGCCGCTGTCCAGTGTGGCTGCCTCACCTTCCTCTCTCCCCTGGCAGGTTTCCTGGAAGTGGCTGACGAGGCCACAGGCGCCCTGGC